TTTTTGCCCCTAAACCAAGTTGGACAATACTGCTTCAACCCAAAGGGAGGGCTTTGTTGCAGAAATTTCAGGCAGTTTGGGGAGGCAGGTAGCAGAGGTATTAATCTATAAATACGTCCTCCTAAGTAACTGGTCAGAACCCAGGTTGTTGCTGCAAGCAATAACAGATTGACGCTTCTGAGGGTATGTTTTGAATTTCGAGGCTTTTGCTGCATTGAACATATGGTACTTTCCTGCTCAAAATGTCTTAGGATTGCTTTTGAGACAAGACTAGTACATCAGTAGGAGGTTTAGATACAGGGATCCCAGAGCTTGACAAATTTTAGAGTTACTCATCAAAAGACATGTCATGACTGCTTACTGTTTTTCTGGCCTTGTCTTCTGGGGATAATAAGGGAGATACAACCTGCTCAGATAGAGAATTGCCTGGCCCCATGCCAAACCTGATCAATTTGAACCTCCACAGAAGTTCTCAGGTGAATCTTAGAACTGAATATGTTGGGAGGGCCTAACCATGTTTCATTTACAAGGAATATGCAGGGGCTAGGGATTTAGCTCAGTCATGCAGCCTGCCTGTCAAGTATAAGATTGATTCTGAGTACACCCCCCAAAAAATAACCAGATTAGGCAACTCTATAAAGATAAAATAGATTAATAGTTACCTAAATTAGGGGGTGGGCCCTGCTATGATAGGTGGTACAAGGTGGTTTTGGAGGGGTTGATTAAAATAGTCATAAAATTTGTGGTTGCTGAAAAGATTAGCATTAAAAGGAAACCACGTTTTAAAAAAATAAAAGTAGTCAAAAATTGTTGGGCTGCAGATGTGGTTCAGTGGTACTTGACTAGTAGGTACAAAGTGCTGAGTTCAATCTTCACTGCAAAAATAAATAAATAGTACAACTGTGAGTATACTAGAAGCCATTGAATTGTACACATTATATGGTTGAATTATATGGAATGTATATTCTCAATAAAGCTGTTAAAAAAAAAACCTGGCAGATATGGTAATGCATTTCTATAGTCCCACTACTCAAGAGGCTGAGGCAGGAGGACTGTTGCAGGTTTAAGGTCAGCTTGGGCTACAAAGTGAGTTCAAGGCCAGCCTGACCTATCTAGCAAGACTCAGTCTAAATAAATAAATAAATAAATAGTAATTTGGGTTTTTTTTTTTTTTTAAAGTAATTGCAATTGTAATAGGATGTGATGATTATACCAGGGCAAGTGCAGGTGCCACTTCTAAAACAATGTGTGATGACTAGGTTAAGAGCTGTCTGGTGAGCTGGCATGAGCATGGCAACAGAATGGTGGGAACAGCACACTGTGGTGGGAGTGGTATCAGGCTCTGGGCCAGCAAGCCCTGCAAGTGCTTCAGGAAGGCTCCACTATAGAGTAAGAAATTAGAAATGAAGTGAGAGGTGAAAAACTCAAAGGACTTTGTAAGGCAGGTAAAATGGGTTGGACTTTTCCCTCAGAGAAAGAGGACCTGTGATAGATTTTTAGTAATCACTGTGCATCATCAAGAATAGACCAAACAGACAAGACTAGAGTCAAGAAGCCTGTATAAAGGCAATTTTAGTGTCCAAGTAAGAGGACACTAAACCTGAGTCCTGAACTTGAGTACTGTCCATGGGGATAAACAAGTAGTTAAAGTTTAGAAACCGTTAATGAATTTAATTGAGAAAGTTATGACTAGGGTGCAGGGGTATAGGACAGAATCAAGGATGTTGCCCAGCTGTATGGCTCAGGTACTGAGACAGTGGGTGATCCCAAGACCCCTAGAAAAGAAATAAGTTTTGAGATGTTGACCTTGATTTTAAAAATGTTGGACTTGACCTTAAAAAGGAAATGTTCAGCCAAGTATTGTGGCACATACCTCTACTCCCAGCACTTGGAAGGCTGAGTCAGGAGTATTACTGTGAGTTTGAGGCCAATCTGAGATACATAGTGAAACCCTGTCTTAAAAAAAAAAAAAAATCAGAAGAGACAGCTAAGAAACCTAGGAGTTAGCCATAGCAATTCAGATGCTATAAATTATCATTTATTAAGTGGTTTTGGTATAGTTTGAGTGTATAGCAAATTCAGAGAAAACAGACTTGACCTTTGATATCAAACTTAGATTAGTTACTTTCACCTAATCACAATCTCCTAAACAAGCGGCTCTCTCCCTTCTTGCAGAACAAGGACAGTCTTATTTTTCCAGTGATAGATCATGTTCCTTAACAATTTTTTTGAGGCACTGGAGTCTTCCCAATCTCATGCTCACATATCATCCAGGCCCAGAAAACCCAGGTCCAGCAGCTACAAGAGCCTCCTCCTGTCCATGTGGGATGGATGGCCTGAGCAGGACACTCCAGGGTTGTCTGTAAGATGGAGAGAATGGAGGGAACATGACATATGCCTGGGGTTCAGCAAGTTGTGCCTACACACCAGACAGAAACAAGGAAGGCACCCCCACTCTGTGGGCGAGACAAAGAAGCAGTCCTTTTCCCACGTGCCAGCCCATCTGCTTCTTTGCCTTCACAAACATGTCCTTTTTTCTTTCTTTTTTTGGTTTTCCACAGCTTTGAATATGTGAGGAAGAATGGAAGATGAGGAAAAATAAGGTTAGAAGAAGGCAGGAGGAAAAGATGGTGTGAAGGCAGGCTTCACCTACAACCAAAACAATAAATTCTATCCTAGACCAACTCAAACTGGCACACATACACCCTTTTTTTTTTTTTCTTTCCAAGTGTGTGCATAGCAGTTTCCTCTGGGCAGAGTCCTGAAGATGATGGCCAAGGCATGGCTGTGGACTCCAGTGATGGGGTACCTCTCAGTGTGTCACAGGCTTTGGGGGGCCACTTCCACTGGTCCCCTCACTGGGGCTGACACAGGCTCCAGGACAGATCACTGTCAGATCAGTTGTTCTGAGTCTGAAAAACAAGTGTCTTCCCAGCCTGCAAGGTAGGAGGTGGTGGGAAGAGCTTTGGGCAGCTGTGTAGAGACCTGTGGGGTTGACAATATGAGGGAAGTAGGAGGACAAGAGTACTCTCTGCCTTCTGCCATCTCATTGACTGGGGCCTGGGCAAAGGAAAGAAAATAGCAAGACTGAAGTAACAGATGAGAGGTCAAGTGGCTGTCTTGGAATTGATTCATGCTACTCTTAAGGCAGAAAGTCTTAAAAGGGAAAAGGCCTGAGGGTCTATTCCCTGTTGCTGTAGCTCTTACTGTACTCACTGTACCCTAATTCTATCTCCTACCCACCTAGGCTCTCAAAGCCACCCTCTACTGAAGCTGAAACTTAGCTTTGGTCCTCCTTGTAGAGGACAGAAGGATTCTTTTCCTTCCCACCATTGAAAAGCAGAGGTTTTCAGTAACATCCCCAGTTGGTGCCTGGCTGGGATGAATTTTTTTCCTCCATATCAGGCCCAGACCCTTCCCTGTCCTATGGGTTGAGCTGTGAGCTTGTGCTGGTTGTCACCCCACCTGTACTTTCCCAGGACCTGGTCAGCCAGTGTTTACTTCCTCTTTCCCCACCCACCACTCATAGTCCTGCCCTACCAGTGGGCCTCTCATGGGGTTTCAGGCCTAAGAGGCTTTTGGTGGTTCTGGAACTGAAATCGTACAAGGGCCCAGAAGGCAAAGATGTGACCAATTTTAGGCATTGGCTTGGGCTCTCTCACTTGATTGCCTTATCTACTCCATGTCAACCCAACTGACCACCCAAAAAGCTGAATTGCACTGTCCCAGCCTTCATAGTTACAGAGAGAGCACTGTGCCAGCGTGAGTGCTGTCTGCCTGCCTCCACCCTTCAGCCTGCTGCTACCAGTGAGCCACCTGCATCCACAAGCAGGTGTTTCCTGTGCTCCTTCCTGTTGCCCGTTTTTTTTTTTTTTTTTCTTCAGTGTGGCTTCCCCAGCAGGCGGTTAAGGGCCCAGTCAAACCTTTTCACACACAGCTCTAAAGTACTGGGGGTAGAGCTCTCCAGGGATCTGGGTCACCTGCCCAACACCCCCCTCCCCCTGTGGCTGTTGGCACCTTTGTTCTTCCGGAGTGTGGGCACACATACATTCCCCGTGACGCCTCTGTGCACATGCTGTTACACTGCTGTTGCTACCATTAAGGGCAGTGGAACACCAGGTGGGGGCTGGGAAGGGGCACCTATGCACTGCCTCCCTTTCCCTGGATAATGGAAGTTCTGAAGCAAGAGATAACAGATGGGGTCCGTTTTTCTAGCCGTGGGACATAGGCTTCCCTCAGGCTGTCCTTAGAACAAGTCCCATCCCACCCACAAGTTCCTCCTTTGTGACTTTCAGACTCCTGGTTAATGCATTCTTGTGCTAGGCAGTTCTGGGGGAGGAGGGCCCTCTCTTGGGAGCCCTTCCTCCTGAAGCAGCAGTATGCTGGCTGTGTGGGACCACAGGGTTCAGCAGGTTATTACAGAGAAGGCAGTAAACTGGGGAGGGAAGAAACTTGCTCTCCTGGGTCACAGAGCAGTTGTCTGGGTCTCTGGCTTCCCACACCCAGCTCTTCTAGGCAAAGATCTGTCTCTCCTCAGCCTCTTGGAGCTCCTCCTGCATCTCCACAGAAAGCTGCCTAAGTAGAAGGGGACACCCTGAAGCCTGGCATCAGTTGGTGAAGTATTGCTGCCCCCTTGTGGCCAGCTCAGCCACATCATGCCAGGTTTTCCAGCCCACTCCTCTTGCCTGAGACTGGCATTCTTTGGCCCTTCTCTGGAACAGCTCCAGTCAGACCTACTAGGGGCCTATAGATCCCAGGGTTAGCTTCAGGCTGAGCCTACTCAGCAACACCTCCTACTCCCTTTTGCTTTCCTTTCCAAGCTCAGTTCCAGCCTTTGAGCTTTCTTGCACCAGGATTTCCAGGGTGCAAGGCACTAGTCACAGCTAAAGCGTGGACACACCAATGTCAGGAAGGGTGCATAAGAGAGGTTTAGAGCAGAGGGTTAGGAGTGCAGCAGGCCATGTAGGAAAGGTTTTTTTGTTTTTGTTTTTTTTTTTAATTTTTTTATTTTCTGTAAAACTCTGTAAATAAAATACAAAACCAGGGGATATGGTGAGGCAGAGGCAGGATGGGCAGGCCCTGGACACTGTTGTGTCAAGGACTATGCTGAGCCGAGGCTGGGAGGCACTTGACTGCAGGTGCTGACTCTACCAACCCCCAGGGTAACAGAATATATTAGATTTTCATTGATAGGAATCTGTGGGGAGGGGTGTCTGGAGCCAGCACTCATCCTCCCTACCAGTGCCTGGTGAGCCCTGAAAGTGGGGCAAGGGCCCTGGGAGCCAGCAGCAGAGAGTTTAGAATGCTGTGCTGGCCATGCTGCCAGGCCCAAAGATGCAGGGCAGGGCATCCAGTGACTCCTCCAGTCGTCGATGGGCAGACTGTCCTTCTTCTCCTGAAATGAGTAAACATGGGATCAGGAGTGGCCACAGTCTCATCCTGGCCCTTCTATCTCTGATCCTATCTCACCTCTCCCCATCAGCCAAGATGTCCCAGAATCTACTTAACCTACATGTTCTAGACCCCAGCTTTACCACACTGCTGCAGGCTCTGCCGGGCAGCTTCCCTCACAGCTTCTGTATCAGTTTGACACAGGTACACCAGGGGCTCAATGCCTTCTGGAGCCTATCAAAGAAGAACACTGAAGTAAGGTCCATGGAACAGATGGGAAGTGCCCAGGATGGGGATGCTGGGATTGCAGAGAAAGGACTAATGGATTGGCAGGCATCACCTTGATGCAGCCCAGGGCCAGGCAGCCAGCCACTCGAGTATGCACATCCTCATCCTCAAGCTGGTCCAGGAAACATAGGAGGGCCTGGGCAATGGTGGAAGGACAGACTTAGCCAGACACTGGGAGTCCAGACCCCAACCTTTGCCCTCAAGGGAGCTATGCCCACTCTCACCCTCTCCCGGAAGGCAGGGCCCAGTGACAGGCTCCGGAGCTGGGTGCTGACAGCAGCCATGACCTTGCTATTGCCATGGACAAGCAGGGAACTCAAGGCCCGAAGTCCATCCTTTCTCAGTCGTCCCTCAGGTGCCAACCTCAAGGCTTTCAGCACAATAGCCTGATCATCAGAGTTCAGATTCCGTACCAATAACACTGAAAGAAGGAACAGGGTATTGCGCAAAGGCACTAAGACAAGAAATCTCTGAAGGTCGTCTTTACATCCTTACCCACACCCTTACACCCAGCCACAGATTAGGCCATTTTGTGATCAGGATCACAACCTCACCCTCCTCAGCGGTCTCAGTCACATAGGCCTCCATGGAGGTGCTGTCCAAGGTTTCTACATAACTCCAGAACTGAAAGATGGTGAGCTGCTCCCCAGGTCCTGGCTGGGGCCTCCTGGGCAGCTTCTGCCCTCGGGCATCCTCTAGGAATTTCACACAAACTGTGGGAGGCAGTGGAACATCAGTCAAACCCATGCATTTGGGAGAAAGAGAATGCACCCAAACCTGCACTCATCTCCAGGGACTGCTTTTTCATACTTTACCTACATGGGCCCAAGCCTTCACTCAGTTTCCCACTATTGCTGACAGCCTATATGTCTTTGAGGACTGACTTAGCCTTCCCTGAGGTCCCTCACTAGGGAGCCAAAGAACAGAAGGGGCAGTTAGACAGCTCACTTACCAGCCTCGGCTAAGCCTGGCTGGCGCATGGAGAGACGGGCACCATACTGGCTGCAGAAGGTGAGGAGCACCTGCTCCACAGGGCAGATGAAGGGGCTTAGTCCCACTGTACACTGGTCCCAGAAGATAAGGAAGCCAGGCCTAGAGGCTGAGAACTGCACCACTGTGAAGCATGCAGGACACCATTAGAAACAGAGCAGGTGGGTTTGGGGAAGACAGGCACATCATTGGGGGTAAGGTGAAGTAGGAGCTTTGGGGTAGACACCAGAGCCCAACAAGGAGGCTTTTACCTTCCTGGGCAGAAGTTGCAGGGATCTCCCATACCCTGCTGAGCTCACACACTGCCTCAAGCACTCGGGCTTCCCGCAGTAACCGCTCCAAGGCCCATGCCTCCTGACAGCGCAGGGGCCCAAATGTGCCCAGTTTCTGGAAGAGGGGTAGCCAAGTAGCAAAAACCTCAGGAAGGGGTTGGGACAGGTGCAGTCCTGGCATGCAGTGGGAGAGGTTTGTGGGTGTTATTCCATTCAGCGTGAGCCAGCTGCCAGGGTTCTAGGGCCCCGGGGTCTGGAACTCAGAGGAGATACAGAGGGTCAGGACTACAGTGCACAGTTCCCAGGGTTACTAGGGAAGGGGAGGAGAGGGAAGACCACTACTCTCACCAGCAGGAGGCGACTGCAGTGATACAGGTGCTGGACCAAGGCAGCATCTAGAGCTGGACACCCCGTGCTGAGGGGGTGGGCACAGAGTGAGTCTATGCTGTCCTCAACCCCAGCCTCCAAGCTGCTTGAGGGCCTGGGAAGTAAATGGGGTCAACCACCCCAAGAGTACACATCACCATCTGGTCCACAGTGTTTATTAAATTCTGCCCATCCCATAATGAACAGACAATGCACAAACAACAGGCAATAGGTAAGTTCACAGACTTCCAATAGGGTGAAGGGATGTGAGCAGGAGTAGTGGGTAGAGACACTCCAGCGGCACAATCAGCGCGCAGTACTTATAGGAGTAGTGGGAGTCTTTGATCAGCCTGCCCACTGCCACCTCCAGCTAGGCCCGCAGGGGCTCCTGGGAGTTGGATGGGCAGGAGTAGAGTTGCAAGTGGGATGGTCTATGAAATGTGGACCATGAAGAGTGCAAGGCATGAAGCCCTGACCTGGGAAGCAGCCAAGGGAAAAGGGACCAGGGACAACTCTCAAATGGAAATCGGTAAAGGCCACTCTGGGACTGACAGCTGAGGGACCTGTGCCTGCGGAGGAGTCGAGGTCGAGACAGAGGGGGCTGATGCTGGGGAATGCAGGTTGCACGGGGAGGCACTGAGAGAACTCCACAAGGTAGGTCCAAGGTGAGGCCATGTGAAAGAGGGGCAAGTGGCTCACAAGTTGCTGGGGATCGGTGGGGGAGGCAAACATTGCAGGGATGAGTAGGGCAGTCAGCTCTGGGGACAGATGGAGTTAAGAGATGTGGGCATGAAAGACACAACAGATATACATGGGAGGTGTGTGCAACACACCCTCATGTGCTCCACCTGGCCCCACCTCACCTCTTCCTGTCTTGCATTCATCCCAACTCATCTGTTCTTCCTCTACATTCATTCCTTTCCCTTTCATTTCTTCCCCCTTGCCTGGCCTCTCTCTTGCTTAGCTTTCTCACCTGTCTCCATGACCATCACTGTCTTCATCTTCATCTTCATTGAGAAAGCTGAAGCTCTCCAGGGCATGCTCCACCGTGATGCTGAGACTGGAAGCCCGGCTGCGAGTCAGGCCTTGTCTCTGCTGAGGTTATGGAGGTCAGAGCTACTCCCACTGCTGGAAAGGCGGGGCCCTCTTTGCGCTGCCCCAGCCCAGCCTCTCTTACCATAAGCAGACTTTCCAGCCGAGTCACCTCCTGTTCCAGGCCTTGCAGCTCAGGGAACTGGCCCCTGTAGTCATCCAGGGCAGCCATTAAAGCCCCCAGGGCATCCTCCAGCCTTTTGTCCCCAGTCCCTCCAGCTGCCTCTAAGACTGGAGCTTGGGTAGCTGTGGCCAAGCTAGGTTCTGAATGCTGGGGTTCAGGGACTGAGGGAGAAGGAAGGGGACTTAGGTTTTGAATAATAGGCTCCTGGGGACCTGGGGCAGGACTTCCAAGTTTCCAATCAAAACAAGTAGAACTTGGGTACAGTGTGCTGGGGGGTGTGGGGTCTGCCTGGCTACAGGGCAAGGGGTCTGTGCCTGGGAGGGTGGGACCTACGGAGGTGCTAGGGAGTATAGCAAGGTCTTGAGAAGACAAAAGGCTTACAGTTGCAAGGGTGGAGCTTGTAGTAGTCTGGATGGGGGCTATCGCACTGGGGATAGGACTTGTAGTGGTGTGAGCTGATATTTTGACTTTGTGGGTAAGGCTTGTGACAGCAGGAATGAGGCTTGAAGTAGTAGGGGTGGTACTTGTGTTTTTCCTAGGGCTTGGCCTAGCATGAGTGTGGCTTGGAGTGGGGTGGGTGGAGCTTGGGGTAGGATGGGTGGGGCTAGGGCTTGGGGTAGAAGGGTTGGTGGAGGTGGGGCTTGGGGTAGAAGGGTGGGTGGAGATGGGGCTTGGGGTAGAAGGGTGGGTGGAGATGGGGCTTGGGGTAGAAGGGTGGGTGGAGATGGGGCTTGGGGTAGAAGGGTGGGTAGAGATGGGGTTAGAGTGAGTGGAGCTTGCAGTAACGTGTGTGGTACATGCTGTAGTATGGGTGGGACTTACAGTGGTATGAATGGGGCTTGGAGTAGTGTGGGTGGGGATAGTGGTGCTCTGGATTGGGCCTGTACTACTGGAGAGCGGGCCTATAGTGGTGAGAGTGGAAGACATGGGCTTATGGGTAAAGCCTGTAGTTGTGGAAGCAGAGTTTGGAGCACTATTGACAGGGCTTATGGCACTACAGGAGGAACTTGTGGTAGTGTTGGTGGGGCTTGGCACCTCAGAAGGGGCAGACTCTATGGCCTTACGAACTAAGTCCAGATGTGCAGATGGAGCAGGACCTATAGATGTGAGGGCAGGACTGAGGGTGGGACTTGCAGCAGAACAGCCCGTGTCTAGGGTGAGAGAAACATGACTACTGTGCTCCTTATGGATGGGATCTGGGTGTGTAGGTGGGCTTCGACCCCTAGCCATGGTTTCTGAGCTCACAGTCTCCACTGAAGCCTCAGCCAGGGCAGCATCCACACTGGCCTCACTGATGTGGCTCAGAGTCCGGCTGTAGGGAGCATGCCCATTGGCCAGGGCTGGGGCCGTGGCCCCCTCCTCATCCAGGGGCCCAGAGCTGGGAGCCTCAGTCCTGCGGAAGGCAACTTGGATGGGCAGAGGTTCAGTCTGCTGCACTAGGGGCCTGGGGGTTGATGAATGTCGGGCAGACCCCGAGAGCTGTGGGCTGGATGAGTCATCTGAAGATTCTGATGACAGAGACCATGCAGTCCCATTCTCTAGCTCCTCCTGTCGCCTTAACATGTTCTGAAAGAGAGAGAGAGAGAGAGAGAGAGGGACAGAGAGAGAGAGAGTGAGTTTCAGGACCATCTCTAAAAATCCTCTGGGGGGCTGGTGAGATGGCTCAGTGGTCTAAAGCACTTACTTAGAACAAACTTAGCAAAGCAAAGGGACAGCAGTTCAATCCCCCAGCACCACATGCCAGCCAGGGCTGCCCCCTGGTGGGCTGAGCTGGCCACACACACACACACACACACACACACACAAATAAATAAATAAAATTTTTTTAAAAATAAAAAAAATAAAAATCCTCTGGGAGACTGTGAGGCCTGGGTCTGGGCTATGACTCACATAGAAGGCCTGCTCCCGAAGTGAGGGTGTATCTGGTGGGCTCTGGCTATAGGTAGAGAAGCGTTTAGTGACAGTGGAAGCTTTGTTGACAGTAGAAGTAGCTGAGGGCTGGTCATCCTTGTCAAAGGGGCTGAAAAGGAAGAGGACTCCTATTAGCAGTGCTACAACCCTCCTGCCCCTGTTCTTAAACTCTTCAGCCATACCAACCTCCATGTAACTTCTAGGCTGAGCTTGATGGTACCAAGGTCATTAATATCCACAGCCACAACCTGAGGCAGAGCAGTGAACAAGTCCTTGGTCTCACAGGAGACGCTGCCCACAACTACATGGTTGGCCAGACCCTTCAGTTCTGTCACCTAAAGCCAAAAGTACAGGGTGGGGTCACATAAGTACAAGGACCATGAGCTCCTGGGCTATCAGAAGTCTGGATCTGCATAGAAGCTATAAGATAGTCATAGGGTCCAAGGACTATTGTAAGGTCATGGGACCCTCTGAGAGTCATGGGACCACAGAAACTTGAAGCACTCTGAGATTAAGGGGTTTGTAGAGGTCATATTGGTAGGGCCATTGATCTCAAGGGACCACAGCCTTATACAGTCTCAGAGGATCAAATATTCACCAGGTCAGAAGATCATGGGAGGGGTTACAGGGTTAGGAGACCATGAGGTATATAGGAGTCAAAGATTTTTCTCAAGGCCATAGAAATCATGAAGAAATCTAAGGTCACAGAGCCACACATTCATAGGACCATAGAGGCATAGGGAAGGTCACAAGAGTAAGAGTAAAGGTCACAAGAGGGTCACAATGCATTCATAAGGTTATGTAGTTCACAGGACTAAGATGTCCTGAGCAGAGGAATCACCTTGATGGACAGGAATTCCATGATCAGAGGAAGAAAGACAGTTTCTTCGCTGTCCCACACCTGCTTTCCACTACCCTCAATTCGGCCCCGTAGTTTCCAGCGCTGACGGCCATATTTCATGCAGATCTGGGGAAAGAGACAGGATGAGGCAACCCTACAGCTTTTGATCATTTCATCCCAGCCCTCCTCTGCACAGCCTCCTACCTCATACTGATCACCCACACACAGCCTGGCAAAGCCAGCCAACCCTAGAGTAGGGAGAAAAATAGATGAGCCATGTTGGCAGGGCCCGAGCACACTCTCTGCCTTCCACCTGCCCCCACTAGCTCAGTACCTTTCATTCGAAGATGAAACTCGCCCAGCTGTGCCTCTAGCTCGTTCTCTAGCAGACACATGCTCTGGGAGGGAGAAGCAGGGATAGAAGAAAATAAAAGTCTGGTCTTGCCAGGCCTGCCATACCCCGTGGTTCTGCCCGCAGCATTCAATCCCTCACCTCTGTGTATTCTCGATGACTCCGAGTGGCCTCAGCCAGGCTGTCCCGGGCCTCTCGGCTCCCTTGAGACCCAGTAGTATAGGCACGGATCATGTTGTAAGCACCATCCCGAAGACGCCGCTGAACACAGTATGCTTCATACAGCTCATCAATCTTAGAGGTGAGTGAGGTAATAATGGGGTAACAAGGACTCAACAATGGAATTCTTCATTCAGGGCTTAGCAAACTACCTTCCACCCCATCTCCCTATATTATCCCACCCCCATCCCTCTGCATGTATGCTGCACAAAGTACCTTACTGGCATGGAATTCCAATCGTCGTAAGAAGCGTTCAATGGACTTGACTTGCTGGGGGAGAGATCAGGCGGGGTCTGAGACCCAAGGCCCTTTCCCCTCCCCATGAGCCAACCCCTTCCAATACCACTGTACATACACTCACCTTGTCCAAGTCATACAAGAAGCCCTACAAAGGAAATGAGAGAGATGAGACGTGCTACCTAGGAGGTATGAGAAGGAGCCTTGCTCATCCAGACCCATTCTTCCACATTGAACAAAACTGTTTCATCCTTTGGCAAGTCCTGATCTCTTCCATAAGGAAAACCCTGACATTCTTTTAGTACCATTACAACATACTCTGCTGTCATACTGTAAGGATCTAACCTCTCCCACTGGAACTTCTTGTGAGCAGAAACTGAACTCCAAGCATGAAGTGCACATAAAGAAGTTAGGGATAGAAACCCTCTCACTTTTCCTGATACCCACCTTTCCTGACACCCCTTTTTATACTTATACCTGGACTCAGTCATCCCAGAAAATAACCCAGATTTCACATAGGCATGGCCTTGCCCAGGCCCCACACCACACACAAAGGGCATTAGACCAGGCATTCGACATCACTCACCAGCCGGGAATTCCTCTTGGACTCCTTTATCTGCCCCTGAAGCTTCTCTTGCTCTTGCTGGTGCACTTCCAGGTAAGCCCTGGGAAAGAGGTGACAAGTGAACTTACCATTCACTTTGTTTAGTGTTTACTTGTTTTTCTGAGACAGGATCTTGCTATGCAGCTCGGGTTGGCTTTGAACTCACTATGTGGCTCAGGCTGGCCTTGAACCCACAGAGATCCTCCTGTCTCAGCCTCTGGGGATTACAGGAATAGCACCTGGCTCAGCTTACCTTTCAGACTCAAACTGCCCAAGGGTACCAGCAGTAAGCAGAAGGTGCCTGGCTGGGGCAGGTCCCTACCAGCAGACATTGGGGGTTGAGGAGGGATCCTAGGACAAGGGGTGGGCAGAGAATTGCTTACTTACGTCAGGCCTCGCTTAAGTGCAGCATACACTAGGTCTAGCCTTTCTGGCTGCGGCACCTTCGGGGCTGGGTGGGCCACCGCAAACATCCTAGATACACGGGAAAGCGCTGGGGCCTTCCGTGGGGGCCCTGGCGGTGGTGGGCTGAAGACCTGGAAGCTCCTTAAAAAGAAGATGCTCCTCAGAAAGGAACGAACAGGAGTGCTCACCCCCCAACATCTCTACACACTCCTGAAGTCAGGCTCCAGGCCTGGGCACCATTAACTACCTCCCCACCCATCCACTGCGTACCTGGGCCCTCGCTTGTGGCTGCCAAGGACACCTGCGAAAGACTGGCTTCTACTGACCCGGGCACTGAGCAGGCGGCGCTGTGGCCTCACCGACAGGGACATCATGGAATGAGTCCGCGAGGGGCTCCCTGGAGAAAGGGGGAAGGTGTCAAGTACCGATCGGGTCCCTGAAGTCCCCTCCCCAAACTCAGTTTCCAGGGCAGGAGCTGGTCGCTCCTGATCACCAAGTAGAGGTGCCCCAGTGGGCTCGGGTCTGGATACTCTCAGGCCTGCCAGCCCCACCGATAATGACAGGGCAGCCGCGGGTGACTCGGCCTCGGACTCAGCGTGGCCTCAGCTCAGCCCCTACTTCCTGCCGAGGTGCGGACTCCGCCTGCTGCGGGGCAGGAAGGGGGTGTTGCGCGGGGACCCTTCCCTGGCTGGGAAGGGGCAGGAAAGGGGCGGGGCACTCGAAGAATGTGCGGAAGCGCCTGTTTACCCGGGGGCGGGGCGGCCTTTTCAGCCCTGCCCCAGACGGTCCCCCCCAAGAAGACCAGCGGCCAGGGTCCCCCACCCGGGAGGCCGCGAGAGGTCACGAAGCGGGGCAGGGCGCGCGCTGCACCCCCCCCCAACTCCCCCGCAATGCTGCAGGACCGGCCCAGCCAGCACTGGCTGGGTTCCCGCGACCCCCACCCCTGCCTCCAGCTTAAATTGCTTGCTGATTCCCACCGGCTCCCAGGCACAACGACGCCAGAGTCCTCCAGATGGGCCAGAGTCCTCCAGAGGGGCTTCGGGGATTCCCAGGGTGGGGGCAGTGACAAGAAGTGCTCCGCCCCTCTCCACCTTCCCGGGGCTCAGATTAGGAAACTAAGTCACTGACTCGAGCATTCACCCGAGCCCTATACGGGAAGGGATACTCGGCAGACCACCCCACCCTCTCCAGCAAGACGCACCCCTGGCCTCCAGAATCCCGCCCGCATCCCTTTGGCCTGCCTCAGAGAGTTCGCAGCCCCTAGCTGGGTCTTACCTTTCTTTTTCGCGTCCATGGTAAGTCCCGGTCAGCCCGGACCTGCTCTGGCCCCAAGCCTTGTGTCCCCACCGGCCCAGGGCCACTTGGTGCCGGCCCACTGGGCTTGCACTCTGCCCAGCAACTCTGGCTTGGGCTTCGGCTCCGGCTCCGGCTCAGCTCGGCGCCTCCCCCCGCCCAGTTCCTGCCTCCTGACTCAGCCGGCAGGGATGGGCGGGACAGGCCAGACTAGGGGGGCACCAGGCCTTGGCTCATCTGGCCTTGCAGGAGGGGTGACTAGCAGTTCTCTGGAAGAAGTCTGGTAGAGGCTGGGGTCAGAATGAATACGGAGGTAGATAGAATGAAGGTGTAGGAGGGTACAGAGAGGGCATGTGGAGTGGCTGTTGAGGGGTACTGAGAGAAGTCTGAACATACAGACGGCTAAGAGTTGGGGTTCTAGATGTATAAAGTTTGGACAGTGTGGGCCTGGGGATTCTAAGTGTTGGAATTGTACCAAAGGAGAGCAGAGAATAACGTGCTGTGCACGAAGGGTTTTAGAAGCCAAGAATGATAGAGGCTGAAAGTGTGGGACTAGGTCTACCTTGTATTATGAGTTGCTGCCCCTAAAGGATGCAAAGATAGAAGTGGTGCAGAAAATTCCACCACCCTCTGCACCATGCACCCTTACACCCAGAAGAGGGGTGTTCAGGCTGGATACTCCATGTCCTCCCAGGCCCCAGGGAAATAATTAGGTCCTACCTCTTAGCTGGGGCCTCCCTCCTCCCTAGTTTAAACTGCATTTTAGGGCTGAGATCCCCATCCTTCTAGCCCCAAGCTCACATGGATTCCTCAGGCCCTGAATTTCCTTGGTATTGGCTCTTTTCTGCCTTCCATATCTCTTTCTTGACAATCCTTTCTCTGCCTCCAACATGGATAGAGGCCACCATGTGCAGGGTACACTACAGACACCCCACCTTGGAAGGGCTGGATGCTCCTCCACCCCATAAACAAGCTTGCTCCTTGTGAACCAATTTTGTCAGGCAGCATTTTTTTTCTCCCCAAACGCAGTGGGGCCAAGGTTATGCATTTGCAATAAACCACCAACACTTCTGCAGATTCAGCAGCAAGAGATCAAAGGTCTCCAGTTTTAGAAATGTTATCCTCCCTTACCTCCTTGAAGACTGGGTACCATGTACCCATTGATGATCTATATACACATTCCCATGAATTGCCCCCAACAATAGCCACTCTGCTCCCCTTAGCCATCCCCACAGGGGACAACCTTACCACCTGCCCTGGAATGCCCCTTTGCTAAGTCCTGACAGCCTCCAGGTTCTCTCCAGCACCTCCTACCCCCACACACTTGCTTTGTACCTAAGACTTGGATCTCTAGTTATCAGTTCATTTATTCAGCTGTTCGCTGACAACAACCTTGTGCCAAGCATGTGCCAGACACTAGAAATACAGCCGAATTTCAGACACCACCCTGCATGGAGCTCACAGTGATTCTGCTGTCTTCCTCTGCCAGCTTCACCCTATCTTCTCTTCCTTACCTTCCTTGCATATCCTCTTCCCAGCCTACATCTATTGCACTGTTCTGCTACACGTATCTTCCACACTCATGCCTCTGCTACCTGGCAGAAACCAATCCTGCAACCCAACTCCCTATCTTCACTCCACCTGCACACAGCCTGGTAGCCAAAGATCTTGGCACAGCAGCCTGGCTGAAATCACAGAACAATTCTCAACCTCAGCCAGGCTCTCACTTCCCTCCTGATAAATCCTTCTGTAGGACCCCAGCCTCTCTCTGTTCCCTCAGAAGATTTACTGTACAAACCACCAAGAAGTTATTGTCACATGAAAAATGAAACAACCTTGGAAACCATTCAAATGCCTATCAATAAACAGAATTCTGGCAAGCCCAGGGTCCTAAGTTTGCTCTCTGGTACAAAATAAATAAATAACAGAATTGTTATACAGCCAAAAAAGAAGGAAAAATACGACATACAACAATATGGGTGCATCTCATAGACATAAGGTTGAGTGAAAGAAACAAGATCCAAAAGAGGGCATGGGTATGATTTCCTTGGTAATGAAGATCAAAAGTAGGCCAAAGTAATCTATGGCAACAAAACTCCGACTAGTAGTTCCCTTTGGGCTGTTGTGACTGGAAGGGGGCACAAAGTGCTTCCAAAGTGCTGACAATGTTCTGTTTCCTACCCTGAGTTCTGTTTCCTGATCCTGCATGGGTGTGTTCTGTTGGAAAAATATGATCAAGCTGTATACTCTGTAGATATATACAAATACTTTTTTTTTTTTTTTTTTTTGAGATGGAGTCTCACTGTGTTACCCAGGCTGATCTTGAATTCCTGAACTCAAAGAAACCTCCTGCCTCAGGCTGCTGAGTAGCTAGCATGGGATAAGCATGCATCACTGTGGCTGGCTATTTTCTGTATATATTTTAATATAGAGTCATGTTTAAATAAATAACTACTAGGGTCCCGGGAGATGGCTCAGTAGAATAAGTGATTGCCTGGCCAGCGCGAGGTCCTGAGTTCAATCCCCAGTTCCACAAAACAAAAAATAAAATAAAAAAAATAAATAACTACCAACAGGGGTATAGTTCAATGGCAGAATGTGTAATGTGTGTTTAGCATGCTCTAGGCCTTTGGGGTTTATCCTCAGTACCACATACACAGTAACTAAGTAAAAAAAAATAAAAAGACCTGCCATGGGCCCTGTGCTTTGTGCTAGCTACCACATTCCTCACCCATCTCTCTTCCTTTTTCTTTCTCTCCTCCTAGACCCAAGGGAAGTAATCAGGTCCCACTGCATAGCAGGGACCTCCTCTCTAGTAGAAGCTACATTCATTCTTTTTTTTTTTTTTTAAATGTATTTAGTACACGGTCTACAGGGTCTTACTACATAGATCGGACTCATAGTGATTCTCCTGTTTTCAGTCTCCCAAGCGCTGGGATTACAGGCGCATGCCACCACAGGCCATCTCAGTGTGCCCGGAGGGCATGGCCGGCACTACATGCCGGAGATTAAATCTTGGTCCCTGTGCTCTGCCTAAGCAGGCGCTTTAGTCTGCTGAGCTATATGGCTGGCCCTTGTATTCATTATTTCTGAACATCTTTCTGTCTGTCTGTCTTTCTTTTTTTCTGTATTTAGTAGTCTACAGGGTCTCACTACACAGATGGAATTTGCAGTGATCCTCTTGTTTTCAGCCTCCCAAGTGTCTGCATTTCTTTTTATTTATTTATTTATTT